CCCCTCCACCTGTAACTGCTGCAGGCTCCTCTCATCCTCTCCACTCCCACCTGCTGCCTGAGCCCAGGGACCTCCTCTCCACCTGTAACTGCTGCAGGCTCCTCTCTCAACCTTGTTCATAGCCCACCTGCTGCTCACCTTCCTAAACCACTGCTCTCCCTGAGCACTTCCCCTTATCTTTTCAATAGTCACCTACTTCTTCCCTAATGGCCATTGTGATGTTTTTCAAATTGCCCTTCAAAGCCCTGCGAGTTTCTCAGAGCCCCCTCTGTCATCACATTGGGTGCTGGGAGGGGAGGGTATCCACCTAGGAGGAGCTGGGTAGGTGGGACTCCTCGCTCCTTACCCCTAGCCACATCTATTGGGCTGTTTTTGTTTCACGTATGGCATTGCAATGAGACTTTGTCTGATAAAATATTTCTGTGGCTGAAGTTTGAGAACCAAGGTGGCATTCCCCAGGTGGGCCTGGCACCCACCTGGCTTTCTGGCCTGACAACCTACTGGCAGCTCCCTCTTTCTTAAACACAGTGCTCTGCACTCTCCATGTCCTTTGGCAGTCTTCCTGTGTGTTTTCTCCTGTCCCATCTGCTGGAATCCTGTGTGTCCTCCTTGGCCCTTTAAAATATCATCGCCTCTGCCATGCCTCCCTGACCCCCAGATGGAGCGACTACCTCCCCACACTGTGAACCCATGTTCCTTCTCAAATACTCCAATCCCTCGCCACACTGTGCTGTAACAATTTGTGAGTACCTGTGTCCTTGCTTGACTGTAACCCCCTGATACTGGGAACACGAGGAGGAGCTATTCTTATCCTGCTGTTTATCATAATGCCTGGCATGAGGTAGATGGTTGATTAATGAATTTGTCTTTAAGCAAGCATTTTCCAGGATGAATGGTTGTTTGGGCATTTCTTTAGTTTAAACACTAGCGAGAATCTTCCCTGTCCATGAATTCCACTTCATTCTAACATCTACCCACTGCCCTGCCACATGCCAGCAGCAAGCCCCATGCACTGGGCTATGTGGACAAGGAACATGGATGAGCTTGGCACCAAGTTATGAAAATAAAAGGGCAGCACAAGAAATGGTGAGAAGCAATTAGAAAATGTCAATAACCATCTAGACCAGGTTTCTATTTGTCTGTAAGAGGAGGTGGATGTTTTCACCAAATTAGTGCGACATGATTGAAGTGATCTGACTTAACACAAGCAACGTGGTGCTTGGAAATCCCCATTGAGGGTGCAGGAAGGGGCCCTCAGACAGAAAGGCAGATGTCTTTGGAGCAGTTGAAAGTTGGCTCCAGGGTCCTGCAGGATCCTGATGGGGAAGGACAGCCTAAACACAGCCTAACCCTAACCCTAACCCTACTTCTCACACCACTGTGTGACTAGCCCTCTAACTCTCCTCATCACGGTTGTCAGCCATGTCCTGCACCCATCCTTTTCCTCCCAAGGCCCATACACAGCCCTTTCTGTGCCAGTCTCACCAGGACACTCGATTCCCTCCAAACACTGCCCACTTTGCCAGTTCCCGTGACCTCCCCACACCTTCACCAGGCCACTGAGAGCTGAGAGGGAACGTGCGGAACCTCTTCATCTTCCCAAGAGTGTGGAGCCCCACCGTTCCCGCCCCTCGATGTCTCAGTGGGTGACCCGGGCTCTTCTCTCTTTCTCCGGCTTTCCCAAGTGGAGGGAGATGCATAACCCCCCTTCTCTGCCAGCCCTGACTGTCCCATCCTTCTTCCTTTGCCTGTGTTCCTGTCATCCTCTTTTAGAGGAAGAAAAAGGCTCTGGCTTTCTTCTAGGATGATGCCTTCCTGAACTATGGGGTCCATCCCTTCCACCTCTTCCAGGACTTACTCTTTCTCTTTGTTCCCCCCCAGAATACCAATTATAAATGTATTTATTTGTTCTTTAAAGGGGGAGATGGTGAGGAAAATAGAAACATGGTTGACATCATCTCTTTGTTTCTTCATTTTTTTCTCCTTCAATTGAAAGACCTCATGTGAGTCAACCTCTTTGTCAATTTACGAATAATCTTCCATCTCAGCTCTCGTACAAATGACCAATATTTGCCTTTTTTCTGTTCACCAGTGTATTCCTAGAGAGTCATTCACCCCCTGGCCCTGCTTCCTCACTTATCACTTGCTTTTCAGCTCCTTGACCCACCACAATCTGGTTTCATTGGCCTGCATCTCTCCCCTGAATCTGCCCATTAAGATTTCTGGTGCTTTCCTAATACTTTCTCCACACCCTACTTGCTGATCTTCTCTGAAGGCCCCAATGGTGCTCCTTCTCCTTCTCTTCAGGATTTTCTCCCTGCAGGGCTTCCAACCTACCCCTTCTCATTCTATCCCTTTTCCCCACAATGCCTTTCAGTCTCCTTATCTATATTCCATCCTCCCCCTGCTCTTTCTGTGTCATTTCCTGGGACTCCAACCCAGACTTTCACTCTATGAGTTCTTCTTGGGAAAGTTCACATGATTCCATACACTTGACTATCACTTAGAAATTGATAACTTATTAATCTGCATATACGATAGAGATCTCTCCCCCTTCCCCTGCTCTATTCCTATAAATCCAAAATCTAATGGCAGTTATCCTGGTATCTTCTCTAATTACTCTCATCCCACCCCTAAATCACTGCTGCTCCCACACAAGCAATAGCATCCTGCCAAACAGTCAAATCCCAGGTGCTCTCGAGGCTCTGAGACTACAAAGCCATGAACACAGGGTGCCTGCACTCAATCAACCCGATTAGCAAAACTTGTACACTCTGCTTTAACTCAGCTCTCTAGCTTCACCTCTTCACAGAATCATTCAGCAAATGGAGCCTGAGTTTCTGCCATGGGGCAGGCTCTTTGGTAGCT